AAAAAAAAAAAAAAAAAAAAAAAAAAAACTGCTGGGATTTAAGTCAATGATGTCAGTAAGGCAGCAGAGAGAGGGATAAGAGAAGGTTGTCGCTCTGCAGCCTCTTGTGCGGAGGAGAGATGGGGCTTTGCCATTTGAACTTACAGTTGCCTACAGCCACGCCCGGCTGCTCAACCTCGGGCACTGCCTGTCTGGAAGGTATCTGGGTACCTGCCTTGAAGTGTGCTGAGAACTGGTGGTGTGGCTGTGGGACTCCTTGGAAGGAATGGGACCAGAGTGAAGCCAAGTGGAAGAGACAACCTGGGGCAGGGATCATGCTGAGAAGGTGTGTGAAGTGGAGTGGGCAGGGCAGACGGGCCACACGAGGTGGTTCATTGAGGGAGCCTTCGGGCATCTGTAAGAGTGTGATGAGCCGGGCGTGGTGGCCCTCCTGTAGTCTGACTCCTCAGGAGGCTGCGGTGAGAGGATTGCTTGAGCCCAGGAGTTTGGGGCTGTGGGGAGCTGTGATCGCACCTCTGAATAGCTGCTGCATTCCAGCCTGGGCAGTGTAGTGAGAAGGCGTCTCAAGTGTTACGAAGAAATAACTCAGGCTTCATGTGTGCACAGCATCGTTTGGAGGAGAGGAAACTTGAATGAGAGGCAGGGAGACACCATCTTGACCGCTCGGCAGTAGCCTAGGCACGCAGCGGTGAAGATTTAACCTGGTGGTCAAAAACAGGAATGGAAAGGAGACACCATCTTGACCGCTCGGCAGTAGCCTAGGCACGCAGCGGTGAAGATTTAACCTGGTGGTCAAAAACAGGAATGGAAAGGAAGGTCCCGTGGAACGGTGGCTGGAAGCAGAATCTAGAGGCCTGGAGACCTGGCTCTGGGGAGCAGGAAGCAAAGCGTTGCTGGCCCCAGGGCCTGAGCTCCGGTGACGGAATGGTGGTGCTGCAGACCAAGTAGTGAAGGTGGGAAAGAGCTGGGTTGATGCTGAGGGAGGAGCTTGCAGGGGGGTGAGTCTGGTTTTAGATGTGTTGGGTTCCAGAATCGAGGATGTTGGTCCTGGGGGCGTCTGGCCATGTACTGGAGGCAACTCGTTCAGTACATTTTGAGTCAGGCTTGTTCACAGAGAATTTGCCTGCAGCTCTAAACGTGTTACGTTATGAGTCCTGACGAGGTCTGCACTTGTGTGACTCAGGCAGGCGTCAGTTGTGTGTTCCTTCTCCCAATAGGGTCCTCGTTTGTTTACTCTTTCAGTAATTGAAGGATGGGTGAGTGTTTCCAGATTGTGTCTATTATGAATAAAGTTACTGTGAACATTTGCATATAGGTCTATGCATAGACATACGTTTTCATTTTTCCTGGATAAACGCCTGAGAGTGGGTTGCTGGTCATAAGGTTAGTGTGTTTAGCCTCATAAGAAAGATGATCTGCGTTCCTGTCAGCAGTGGTCGAGAGTTCCGGGTTGTCCTACGCTCGTCAGGGCTCAGGAAGGTCAGTTTTTAGTTTTGGTCTTGGTGACAGGTGTGTAGTGGCTTGTTGTTGTGGCTGTAGTCTCCACCTTCCTAATGGTGTTGAGCAGCTTTTCATGTTCTGGTTTGGTGAAGTGCTTGTTCACGTCTTTTGTCTGCGCTTTATTGGGTCATTTGTGAACTTACTGGGTTATCATAGTTGTTTGGATATTCTGGATGCAAATTCTTTATTAGATACATGTTTGCAGATATTTTCTCCCTTGCTGTGGGATGTCTTTTTCACTTTGTTAATTGTATTGTTTGCAGCACAGTTTAATTTTGATGAAGTCCAAGTTTGTCTGTTTTTAAACTTATGGGTTGTGCTTTTCATGTCCCTTCCAAAAAGCTCAATCATTGCTGTCTCTAAGGTCATGAAGATCTTCTGTGTTCTCATGTCTTTAGCTGTTCTATTCAGGTCTGTGGTTGTTTAGAAGGAGTTCTTCCGTGCAGTGCAAGGTAAAAGCTGAGATTCTTTTTTTGCATATGGATGTCCAGTTGTCATTCAGCAAATATCCCTTTATTTGATCCCAGTTTTATTTATTTATTTATTGAGTTGGAGTCTCACTCTGTCGCCCAGACTGGAGTGCAGTGGCCGCTCCTGGCCACCGCAGCCTCGAACTGCTGGG